ATATGGGTAAATGGTAAATGCCTGCTGTTGTCAGTAGAGTTTAGCTGGATCTTCTAACATGGGTACCTCAGATGATTTTCTACCACTCCTGTATCCACCAGATTTTGGTACTCGTTAGGATCTGGAGGTCAGTGAAAAGAGTAAGACTTGCCTAAATTGTGGCTGTTTGCTGCAAGAGCCAAGCAAATGGGGTACTAAAAGAAACCTCCACCATGCTATATTGAAGTCAAGCTGGCAGCCACCTAAAAGCAGTCAGAGACCAGTATTGCTTATAATCTTCCGTAACGACCTGGATAATGGGGCAGAGTTTGTAGGTGGTACCAAATCGAGCAGGACCGTTGTTACAGTATAACTGGAATACCAAAGTGTCCAATTCAAGGTTCTCCAAGTAAAGTGATACTTCTCCAGGTGAAGAGCGAGTCCAGTGAAGGGCCACCACGCTGGTGAGGGGGCTGGAGCACACAGTATATGGGGGAATGCTGAGGGACCTGGCATTTTTCAGTCCCCAGAAGAGCAAGCTCAGGATTGGACCTTATGGCTGTTTTCTACTACTGCATGGGCTGCTCTGCAGAAGACTCTTCTTGGAAACACACAGAAAAAACAGCAAACTAACACCAAAAGCAATGAACACGAGTTGCAGTAATAGAAAGCTGAGTAGATACAAGGATAAAATTCTTCATTCTTCATCTGGAGAGGGGTTTGGGGAATATTTCTCTGTGGTAAACTTGCCTGGACAAATTCTGAGCAAACTGATGTAACATCAAAGCTGGCTGTGCTTTGAGCAGGAGGTTGGATGGGGTAGGCTCCATATATTATTTTCAGCTAAGTTATGGGATGGTTTATGTGCTGTTGTCACAACAGGTGACTTTTCTCCCTGTGTATATTTCCCTGGATATATTACAAGGTTTGCAAAAAGTCCATGTAAAAGAGGCTTTTACAATCTTGGTGCTCTGTTTTCTATGCTAGAGGCTTTCATCCCCATGTGTAATTGAAGCATAGACAGTCTCTTCTGCTTTACTGCTCATTTTGGCTGCTGCAGGTTGAGCTAGAGTAGCCTGGCAATTGGAGAGCTGAGGAATTTGCTATTGATATTTGTGAATATGGAGGCCTGGTCTGTGCCCAAAGAAGTTGGGTATGTAGGGTTACATATAGACAGGTAAACTAGCAGTACCAGGGCCTGGGCACAGGTTCTGGAAATAGATCTTCTGTACTGAGAAACATTAGCATGATCCATGGCATAGTTTGTTGGCTTAGTCCAGCTAACACACTCCTAGTCTGTCCCAAAGATCATAGAATCCAAGAATGGTTTGGGTTGGAAGGACCTTAAAGATCATCTTGTTCCAACACCCCTGCTCATGGCACATTTTACATTAAGCCCAAGTCGCTCAAAGCCCTGTCTATCCTGGCTTTGAATGCTTCCAGAGGTGTTTTGAGACTGGTTGTAGGACAGAGACTGAGTACCATCACTCTGTTTTGGAGGGTAAGAGTTTTTAATATCATGGCTATGGGCTGTTCCACCACAGTTGGCCTCAGGGCCAGGGATGGTCCAGCGTAAGTTTTCATTTACCAGTGAACATGTACCAAAACAGTGGACCTGGGCACTGATAAAATACCAGTAAGGATTGCAGTGTTAGGACCTACTCTGGATAATGGAGCTACCTAGAAGAGGTTGGGTACCTAGGGCTATGTGGAAGAGGCTCTTACAACTTAAGCTACATTATTTGTGGGGCTGGTGAGGGGACTAGAGTAGGGCCCCACAGCTGCCTGTAGGCAGTATGGCATGTTGTTTTCAGTGGATATCATGGGCAGGGCTGTCTTCTCTTGGGCCAAAAAAAATGCAGCTGATGCCTGATAAAGGTGGCATCAGGACTGTGCTCACCTGCCATGTACACATCAGCTGCTCTGGACTGGATACAGTGAAAAGAGCCTGCTACTGCCTGGCCCTGTGGTTGGGTGACCTTGTGTCCATGCTTTCCATCCAAAATACTGTGGGAGCCTTCTGTAAAATGATATTTGGGACTAACCCTGTTAGATCTCAGGCTGTATTACCTGTTCGGAGTAGTGCTTGTTGGCAAAATCATTCTAAGGAACAGGGCAGCACCAAAACAAGGTGGATAACAGTGTGTCCAGATTTAAGCTCTGTTTGATTTCCTAATGCAGATGCTTCTGCTAAAGTCTGCATGAATGGAGACCACGGCCTCCTCAGAACTGCATGGGAGGAAGGAAGTCATCGATACCAGGACATGACTACTGATAGCTAGAAAAACTGCCAATGTTACTGTGAGGATATATGACAAATAAAACTCCTAGAAGTGTTTTCAGTGAGCTGAATCTACAGCTTTGACATCTGAAGAGTCAATCCAGTTCATTAAGGTGGAGAGCAGAGTCTGTAGTTACTGCACATTCCTGCATGAGGAACGTCCCAAAGGCTGACCATCTCTGGGGATGACATATGCAAAAGCCTTGTTGTGCCCCTCACAGGACAAATAATGGGTAATGTTCCTGTGCCAGGGGGCAAGGCCCTCGAGCAGACAGCTGTGGGATGTTCCCTGTTTTGTATGGGAACAATAACAAGTAAAAAGAATAGGCACCCTCCATGAAATCCTCTGCAGTGCTTAGATTTGATGAATTTCTCTAACTGGACATTTGCAAAAAGACAATGAATCAGGATTGTTGCATGCCAGATGTTTCCACTGGAACCTCTGACACTCACTGGATCAGAAATCCCCAAAGGAGGTTTGGGTGGTTCAGTATGAAAATGTTCACATGGAGCCTTGTTCTTTTGTCATTTGCATCATGCTGCCTTTGATTTGAGAAAAAAAACATGTTACCCTCTAGGCTTGGTTTTCTGTGGCTTTCCCATGTCTTTCATGGCTTTTGTTGTTGTGCTTGTTCTAGCACTCAATACCTTTTGGGGTTCATTTTCCCTTTCCTTCCCTCCTAATTAGTGACCTAAAGGGGTTTGTATGCCTTTCTCTGCAGCTGTCCTGTTGCTTTTAGCAACAATTTGATGTTGAAGAAATGTCTCCTTGTCAGCTTCCCCCTAAGCTTGATCCTGGCTGGATGGTGAAAACAAACTATCAGTCTTGCACCTAAAAGCTCAAGACCTTGTCTATACAAATTGTTTTCACCCTAGCTGAGAAGACAGGCAAAAACATCTGATAGAAAATAGGACTTGTGAAAATACTTACTTTTGGGGCTTTCCATATTCTAAATTCCTGATATAAGAAATGTTTCTACTTGCATGGAATAAATGCGCTTAAAACAAATTTCTACTTACTTGGTAGATGACAATATTATAATTATTCCACCTCACAGTAACTCATTAGATTTAGAAATACAACATCTTCTAAGGCCACACAGGGACACTGATCACATCTGTCTGTAGCTGGGGCCAGAGAGGGGCACTTGACACAGCTCTTATGGGTGTTACAAAGGCTAAAAAAGCCTATCCAAACTCTCTTCATCTCTTCCCCTCAAAATGAAACAAGCTATATTGGGTTTGCCTGCTCACATTTTGGTAGCAGGGGCCTACAGGGGTGGCTTCTGTGAGAAGATGCCAGAAGCTTCCCCCATGTCTGACAGAGCCAATGCCAGGCAGCTCCAGGAGGAACCACCACGGACCAAGGCTTAGCCCAGCAGAGATGGTGGAAGTGCCTCTGGGATAACGTATTTAAGAAGGGAAAGAAGTTACTGTGCAACAGCAGTTGCATCCAGGAAAGAGAGAAGTGAAAATGTGTGAAAGCAACAGCCCTGCAGACACCCAGGTCAGTGAAGAAGTAGGGGCAGCAGCTGCTCCTCCTTCCCAGTCACAGGAGTTGAGATTCCCATAGTGCAGATCACAGTGAGGCAGCTGTGCCCCTGCAGCCCATGGGGGTCCATGGGGGAGTAGAGATCCACCTGCAGTCCATGGAGAAACCCACATCAGAGCAGAGGGATACCCAAAAGACATTGTGACCCTGTGGGAAGGCTGTGCTGGAGCAGGTTTCCTGGCTGGACCTGTGACCCTACGGGGGACCCAAGCTAGAGCAGCCTGTTCCTACTCTGGAGCAGGGGAAGAGTGTGAGGAGTCCTCCCCACAAAGGATTGGCTGAGACAACATGTGATGGACTGAATGCAGCCCCCATTCCCTGTCCCCCTGTGTCACAGGAGGGAAGGAGGCAGAGAAAATCAGGAGTGAAGGGTTTTGCTTGCATGGTGGGTGGACCCTGGCTGGACACCAGGTGCCCCCCATCCAGAGTCCACCCACTACGCAAGCAAAACCTGGATAAAACCAACACACCCAAATCAAATCATACTTTTACCCTTCCCCAACAAGGCCCCAGTGTCCAACTCCCTCACACCCGTGAGATGGGAATTTGTTAATAACTTTTCATGTTACTGTGATCCATGGCATTATTGGACAGCTAAATTAATCTGCATGAATTCCATATGAATATTATAACTGTATTGGCTTATTAACATATATTCTGTTGCTATGACAGTCTCTTAGCCCATGGGGAAGCTTGTAGTGTTTTTGAATAAATACATTGGAGTAAGAATCCAAAGATCTGAGACCTTTCCCCATGTTCTGCATTGATCTGCTCTTGTTAGTCTTTTTACTTTTCTGTGAAGCTGTTTCTCTCCATCTATTAAAATGAAGATACTGATACCTGTCTTAGAGTCCTTTCAGACCTTTGTAGAATGATAAGTAATTATTTTTATTATAGATAGCCTTTTCCCTGTGAAAACAAGCCATCTTTTATTTGCAGCCTTCTTTCTACAGATGCATGGGGGTTTCTGATTCTTCAGTGATCTTTTTGGTAATTTCCTTTCATCAATTTACAATTTATTAGAGGTGTGTTAGAGTCAGATACACCTTCCCATGTAAGCACAAAGACTTTTAAATATGGAAATCCCACATGTATGTGCTCTCAGTCTGCATCTGGTAAATTATTTCTAGGCAATTTCTGTTGTGAATGGACAAATATTCAAAAAGAGGTATTGTTTTTCCCTTTTAGAGTGTCAGTCAGCTACTGCTCTCCAGCTCATGATCAAGCGCTGTCATGGGAAAAGAAGCTGCAGCATATATGCCAGCACCTATGAATTTGGAGATCCTTGTTACCCAGGCATCCAAAAGCATCTTAATGTCATCTACACCTGTGGTACGTCACAAAATTCTCTTACTTTAAACTCTCACAGGGGTGTATGTTTGATGAACAGTGGTATGTAGAGAACAACAAGACATTATCATACACAAAAAGTTGTTGAGCTTCCAGTTGGCTCACGGTGATTCTTGTTTAGTCAACAGGGGGAAAGTTCTGTGGATCACTGGAGTGGTTTAATTCTGTCACTTTTTGTACTCATTGGCTTGATAGAAAAAGAAAAAAAGGTGGAAATGATATTTTATGAACACAGTCAGCTGTTTCTTCAAGGCAGGAAAATCTGGTGGTGGAATCAATCCGCTCAGTGGAAGTTTACACCCTGAATGTTGGCACCCTGCAGCAAAGTTGTGGTTATCAGGAGGATCCTTATTACTTTGTTCTGTATTTCATTTTGTACCCTAGAATCAGATGAATACCAATCCATACTCATCCACTGTGTTAGTAGAAAGTCACTCCCAAAATCTTCAAGTGAAAATTGTAACATTTTTTCCGAACAAAATACTGTTATTAAAAAAAATAATATAAAATAAACAGTTGGAGCTCTAAGTTGGGAGTTTAAGTCATTGTATTGAGCAGACACTGTGCTCCTACCTGACTAGTCATCTTATTTTGTAACACAGGAAAAATTCTGTTCCTGTCTGAGCCCCGTGGTATAAAAACAACATCAGGTCTGTTTTCTTACTGTGTGATGATATTTTGGTCATTTGTATCTGACATATTTAAAAATATTTTCTTCAGGGTTTTGCTTACATAGTCGTTGCTAGGATCAACTCGGTTTATCTCTCTGTTCCTTTCTGCATCCACTTGGAAGAGGAAATTCTGGTGCTACTTTGAATGTGGTGAGAGATGGCAGAGCCTGTGGTAGAGGAGGAATTTTGTGTCCTCAGACAACAGCTTTGTGTGTCACTCCCTGTGTGTAACTGCAGGAGACTGAGCCTGATGCCATTTGAGATGGAGGCACCACAGCATTTTGTGCAATTGCTACATGTACATGTACAGAACCTTGAAGAGCAGAGACTTCAATGCAGAAGCAATGAGGCTCTGAGTTCGTCTGGCTGTTGTTTTGTTTGGCAGGAGAGGCAGGAAGATTGGGTTTTGTTTGAAATGATGTAGCAAGAAGTAGCAAGGCTATCCATGCAAAGCCCTGAGAGTTTTCTAGTCAGGAAGGTGAGGTTTTTATATCACTTTCCTCATAAAGAGACTGGAGAGAAGCTTATCCTCATGGGGATTTGACAGAAATGAAGGCAATGCAGCAAAACAGGAGCTCCATCCCTCACAAATCCAGGGAAAACAAACAGAGCCCCATGATGTATTTCCAAGAGGATTTCTTCTTCAAAGGCCTCAACAGCCTTATTCTGGCTTTGCGATCCTGGTCTCAAAGTCCACTACAAAAGACATTAATGATCTCTTAATCTGACCTTAGCTTTCCTAGTCCTAGCCTAACTGCATCAGGAAATGAGTCACGCTTGAGAGCACAAAATGGCATGTTTTGCTTTTCCGTGGGTGAAATCTGCCTCATCCTTTGAAGGTGGCCATGGTTCCTTTTCAAAATCATGATCTCAGACATGTCTCTGAGCTGGATTTTGTGATCAACAGACACATATTTCTCGCCTCAAACAGCAAAATCCTTCAAAATGTGAAAACCAAATAAACAAGAAATCAAATTCCAGTCCTGTCTGCTTGTGTCAGACAGAACTAAGTCTTGGCATTCTTTCAGAAGAAATGATAAAACCAAGCAGTTTGATATTCTTATGGTTTAGGGCATGGTAGTGTAGTGAACCTCCTGTTTGATATCTCTTTGTTTCAGGTTTCCATAAAGCTTCACACATTATTGCTTCTAGTATGGTGCTCTCCTACTTTCACAAAACCTGTGGGAGTGAAAGGCTTTGATGAACAAATGTGATTGCACTTCCCTGTGGCCTTTATGTAGATACAGGTACCTGTTCCCCCCCGCTTGCAGTTGGAAACATGTGACCCCTGGAATGAAGGATGTGGCTTTGGTGAGCAGTGAAAAATGCAGAATGACCCTGGCTTAGCTTGGGAAATGTGATGGGTGTAAAAATGGATTTTTTCAGCATCACTTCAACCCTTCTTCTTGCTGCTTCAAGTAGGTGACCTCATCACTCCCTGAGATCAGGCACTGCAGTTGGTCTGGTCCTCTCTGTCACTCCCTGTCTGTCAGACTGTGGCAGAAATGTCCTGCCATTGTTCAGCAGCTTGGACCATGTCACTGGTCTTACCTGTGACAAAAATTGCAATGTGATCTTGATCAGTGCTGACCCACTGTGCTGCTTCAGAAGAGGTAGTGAGAGCAAGCATAGTGGGGGACATGGCAGTGTGGGTGGGACAGCCTTCATACAGAGATTTCCCTTGTGAGAAACTACAGTAAGTATGGGGACAGGGCAGCTGGACTCTGCTCTCGCTGCTAAAGCATGGGGAGGGCTGTTAAGAGACTAATATGTCTTCTTCTGATAGCAACTCATGAAAAAAATCTGCTGAGGGAGTAACTTATGAGGTGACAAAAAGTAATATTAACTGAAAACTGGTGTTGTTAGCAGAAATCACAGCTCTTTTGCTGAGATGGACCCTGTGACAGGATTAATGCTGGTGTTGGCTGTGTGGACAGCCTAGGGATGAGCTGGTGAGGTGACTTATCTCCCAGTCCTGGCAGGAGAACATCTGCAAGGGTCTCTCAGGTCAGCAAGTCCAGACTGTTCTCCTCTAACTTGACAGCACAAGCTGAGCCCTGTTCCAGATCTCCAAGCGGTAAATGGATGAGGCAAAAGCTTTTCTTTCTTTAAGCCATATCTTTATTTCTTGGAGGTTTATTCCTCTAGCCTCCACGTTTTATTGGACATGAGAATGCCTGACATACATACACAATTTTGTTGATGAATCTCATCTTAAATAAAGGTGTCAACTAACTTGTTACCCAGCTGTATAATTTTTAAAATATTTGCTGTAATTACTCCAGCCAGTGGGAATGTCTCAAGCCAGCAGTTCTCCATATCACATTATATCCCTTTGCATTTTGGGCTCAACGCCTGTTGGCATCACTTGGCTGAGAGGGAAATGCCACCAGTTACCGTATGTAACTGGTATGATTGAAACAAGTAACAAACAAGTAAATGGCAGTGATCTCCCATGTGCAGTAGGGTCCCATTAGCCCAACCAAGGAAAGAGATGAAAAATCTTCCAACATGAAAACATTCCAAACTTTAACCTTGGCAGGAGCTGAAGTACAAAATTTTGGCCCAAAGGCAGATTTAGCTAAGGGGATGGTGTGGAAGGTGGGAATTTCCAGTATGTGGGTTCCATTACTGCACTAATAAATACATTAATTATTTTTTCAAAGGGAAAAGGCAAGTTAATTCTGAGAAGCTCATAAGGCATTGTGAGGTTGATCTCTGAGTGTAGCAGCTCTAACTAGAGGCAAATATAAAAATTTAAGCTCTGATTTTCCTTTAAAATGTCATGAAAATCTTAGAGGGTAAAAGGAAATAAAAAATTAATGCAAGTGAGAAAAATAGTGCAACAAAGACTAAATAGATTTTCTTTCTTGCTTGCTTGCTTGCTTGCTTTTCTTGCTTTTCTTTCTTTCTCTTCCACCAACCATCTTCCTGTCTCTCTGTCTTTCTTTGGTATAAAACATTGTATTTGTAATATCTGAGTGTTACTTGCTAGTGGCTTTGCACTTACTGATAAAAGTTACTGTGCTCTTGACTTTTTCCTTTTTCTTAATTGTCCACTTATTAACTTCAAAGGATCCCTTTAATTCTCTATATCTCTTTCCTCTCTAGTTTGCTAGACTTGTTTTTTTGGCATATGCTGAAGTCCTAACTCAGCACTGCACTAAAACCTGTAGAATTTTTTCACACATATAGTGCCACTTGGACTCAAGGAAGCATTGAAGTGCTTTATTTTAAGACCTATGGATAATTACTATGAAAGTTAAATATTTTCTCAAATCTTTCCTTGAGTGGGGATGAGGGGCTTGTCTGTGTGTAAAGTGAAACCTTATTTTTAGCACTGAAAGTCAGGGTGTCTACTGTCCCTGCTGCCAGACCCGCCTCCTTGTGCAGTCTCTGAAGGCTGCTGATGTAAACCCTCTGGTAAGGACCTGCTGTTCTTTAAATACAGACATTGGTCAGAAATGGTTCCATGAGAGTAAAAGAAAAGGATGGGGACTGTGAATTTCTTTGTATCTAGACATGTTTCAGTGGGTTGGATATGGGTCCTGATAACTGATGACTTTTTAGTGCCATTGTTAGATATATTCTGGACAAAATGGAGGAAAAATGGTCGTGGATGTGTTTTTGATGTGAATATCTGTGAATATCTGTGATACATTCAGATGCGTGCGTGCCTCCTGCGTGATTCATGCTCGCCAGAAAGGGCTCATTGGGCTGAGAGCTAATGAACTGCCATGGTAACTCATAAATAGCTTGGAAAATCCTGCAGTTCTGCTACATTAATAATCCTGCCATCCTGCTTTATGAGGCAATAAGCTGAGTCCCAGGGGCCAAGCGCTTCACACCCCAGTGAGAGAACTGTGCAGGTAGAGAACAAAGGCTGAGCATAGGAACAGCAGCTACTGTTGTTTTGGGGTGTCTGGTGCTGCTGGGAGACCAAAGAGGGTCAAGGAGAAGTGGTAGAGGTGCTCTGGGGCTGTGGGGGTGTGCTGACTTTTGCTTTCTCTGGTACTTGGGAAAGCAGTCTATCTTTCTCCAAAATGTTTTGTTTAAATAAATGTTCTCTCAAGCTGGACTAGAGGCAGGGTCTGTGTTAGACAAGAGAGCTCTGACGTGGTTGCCCTCATGATGGTGATGAGGAGGGAGGCTAAAAAGCTGCACAAATTCTCTACTGTCATCTCAAAGGGACTGTGCTCTGGTCCATTAGCTCCTGTGCAGTAAATCTATCAATGCCTCAGGCTGGATGAATGTAATGGTTCCTTCTGCTCTTAAAATGTATGAATTCATGAATGTAAAAAATGCATTTTT